AAATCCCTCAACGGCGAGGAATTCTTTGATAACTCCTGCATTGCGCTTCAGTAGCTGCTCGTTTAGGCGGACCGATTCGGTGATTTGTCGTGTAGTGCGATCAAGTGTGCGCGCATCATCAGCATCAAGCTTAGTGCAAACGAATTCCTAAATCATTTCAGCAGATCATTAAAAGAAAGATAAAGCAAAAAAGAAAAACTGTGCGAACAATTCAATTTCCACATAAACTACGCTTACTGTGGCTGAGCACTCATGCATATTGAGTTCACTGCTCTTGGAAATTTCAGTATAACATATTTTTAGTAAATCTCCGGCGAATACTGAAGGACTGCCACAGTAGATGAGCTAAAAGGCTTCACGCATGGCGTAAGAAAGCGATACATCTAGCACTTCCCGCCTCCCCCCCCCCCTTGGGATTTAGGAAAAGAAGCATGAGCCAGAAGCACTTCATATAACAAAGTTAGGATTAAACAAATCATGATGTAGTTACGCAACGATGGTGCAGAAATATGCTAAATTGAAAAATAAGCTGTAAAACTACCTCCAGTTCACGACTACCCCGTTTTTAACGAGCTACAACTTTTTATTCAGAGCTCTTTTGCGTATAAAGGGAGCGACCTCTACTTCCTTTGCTATTTCACTCGAACACTGATTATTTGCGCTTGTTTTGAAGCAGTGCTGGAAGAGCGAACTGTTCGCACCGCCAAATTTCTTGAGTAAAAGCTTGGTAGAATCCTGAAAAAAAAAGAAGGAAATTTCGAAAAACAGAGATGAACTTTCCTGAAAATTCACAGTCGTTGCGCTGATTTTTAAAAAAATAAAAAAACAAATGAGAATTCGCAACAAACAAATAAAAAAATTCGCTCACTTTGAAATATTCCCAGATGAAATCTTGTCCGGTTTTGTTCACACAGGCACCATAGAACAAGTAAATGATGTCCTGTGAACGAACGTGACCCTGAAATCTACTGTTGTGACTAAACTAATATCAAAATAAAGATGAACTAAAATTAGTATGAAATGTTCTCTTTTTACGCGTTTTGTGTTGTTCAAGAGCTGCACAAATCTCACACTGCCTCACCCAGGTTTACCTGTGCATGTGTGTGTACCTGGGGTGCATTTTGACCGTACTTTTCAACTCAAGAACCACAGAAGCTAGGGAGCTGAAATTTTAAGGGACTGTTCCCCATTCACGCGTGACACTGCAGATTTGATCCTAGCCTTCACATATGTACGTCTACGTCTTACGTACAGTCACGCCAAAGTTTTGACGTTAAGGTTAATAACTCAGGAACTAGAGAAAGCAAGGAGGTGACATTTGGAAGAGGTGCCCCCTGCCAACGTGTGAACTTAAATTCAGCTCCGAGTATGCCTAGAATTTAACTGCGGCCAGATGAAAATTTTCTCGCCAAAATTGATAACTCGGAATCGCAAAAACAAGAAGCTGGAATTTTAAGACAATGTTCCCTGCCCAGGTGCGGCCCTGCAAATTCCAGTTCAATCTTCGTGTATGCTTCGATCTTACGCACGGATGCGTGAAGTATTTAGTGCTACAATTAGGCCCGCGTCCGATCTCAAAAATTTAAATTCAGCCCTCACTTACACCTAGGCGTCATGTATGGAAAAGTGGGAATTTTTGGGCGAGATTTTTCGCCTCACTGACAAGGTAGAAAGCTGAAAATTCACAGTAGTGCTTCCTCTGAACGTACAACCATAGAATTTCAAATTCAGCTTTCAGTCATGCTTATGCCTCACATACAAACACGTGAAATTTTGCACAGGGAATTTTTAGTTTAAGAACTAAACAAAACAGAGAGTTAAAAATGCCGGAGGAAATTTCCAGTTCAACTGCGAAGCTAAAAATTTAAATATCTAGCTCTCATAAACTTTTACGCTTCAATCACGAGGTACATGGAATTTCATACTTTTCTTTTGCGCATATTAAACGATATTCTTAACATCGGTTACCCCTAACAGAAAGCAGTAGATATTCTTAACAGAAACCGCTCGCTAGGCAGAATTGCGCAGAACGCTTGATCGCACTGGCTACTTTGCTACGCGCTATTTGTCTGACTCTGCTCACGGTATCACGGAACTTGAAATTTCGATAACAGAAACACTTATATCGTAAGCTTTTCGCAATTA